TCCCTCTCTCCCTTTCTTCCTTCGTGATCGTCGTTCAATCGCTATCCTTCGTTCGTGAAACCGGCTCTTCTCGGTTTAACGAACGGCACCACAAAGGAGAAATCGTTATTTTCACGGGTCTGCCCGATTTCGCGGTTGCATCCCTCGTTTTCTCCGCGTTCCGTTCCATTCCCCCCGCTGCTCCGCCCTCGAATCGGCCCTCAACTCGCTCGATCGCCAGTCGGCCCTCCTCTCGCTCTCGATTTTTGCTCCCGAAACTCGCTCGCTTTCTACCCTTCCTCGTTTCCTCTGTTTCTGCGTCCGCTCTTTCTACGAACGATTCACAATTTCGGCTCGTTTGGACTTCGATTTTAGGAGAAATCGTCTCGATTATTATTCTTCTTGTTACATTACACTGCTATATTCGTCCTTCTACTTTTGCTTCGATCGAGAAATTTGCACACGCGCGAAGCTAGATTTATTAAATTCTAATTGTTGGCTGAACGGTCGACGAATTTAACATTGTTGGATGTTACCAACTAACTTTGAAAAATTCCCTGTTCATTCAATCACGGAGTGACTACAACGTATATCCGAAAATACTTCAACGCTTTTATTGCATAATCGTAATGCAAATGACCGCATAAATCTTTCTCCCTCGCTCTCACGAAAGTATGAATTTAAAATACACTGAAACGATCGTTTAACAATTGAAACAAATTTCAATCTCAGTCTTTTAATAAAAATGTAAATTTCCATCGGTAATTTGAACCCATACCTCGTATTTCGAAACATCGGATCCAAGACGCTATGACAGTCCAGTTCAGGTGTTTCATTGTGACGTTTTATCACCTGACGTACGTACATACGTGACGTGTCCGATTTTTCCCTGAATCTGGGACTCTGTGACACGAAGGTCAGGTCGTCCCTCCACAACGTTGGCAGAAGAAGAGAAGAGAAGGGAAGACCGAGAGAGAGAGAGAAAGTCGAGGAGCGTTGCGAGCGTCCAGCTGCAGCCGGCTCGTTCAGAATGGATTTTGTTGCGTGTGCGTGCAGTCTGATGGTGGAAACGTGGGTGGGTGATGGATAGACGGTCACCGTGTCAGTCGTGCGAACGTTAAACGGGCCTCAATGCCTCTGAAATTGCATAGGCACAGCTATTGTAATCCAGTCCCATTTCCAGCGACACCTAGGACTGCCTATATATGCAGATGCGGGACAAAGAGGTGTCCAAAAATTCCGGATAAGATCTCGATTCCAGAGTATTTCGTACGAAAGCAGCTGGGAAAGGTGGTTGGTTAATTTATTATTGAACGGGGGTGAGAGGGTCGGAGCTCGTTGGAAATGGATCTCTGTTCAATCGTATGGACAATTTGAAACAAAGTTGTGAATCTCTTAATTGATATCGTTGGACGTTAGAAGGAAGAGTAATTCAGAATTATATGTCATTCAGTTCCACTTTTTTTTAGGCAAAACATAAACTAGAAAGTAGAATTATATGACCAACATTTGAATAATCCTGTAATGATTATTATCCGAGTGTGTTAAACATTCCAACACACGTGTGTTCAACATTGAAGTACTCAAACGTTAAATTTGAAGTAATTGGAGAATTTCTGTGTACCTGAACTCTTTCTACGTGTCTGAAAGTTCTTTCTCGGTTGATTCCTCCGCGAAAGTCGGTTAAAAAACCGTTGCATCCAACGTCTCTTCCAGAAACAGTATCATCCCTCCTTCTCTTTTCAGTTGTTCCATCGATCTGTCCCATTAGATGGCATCGTGGAACGTTCGTTGCGCTTTTTTCAAACCTCTGAAGGAGCACCAATCGCGTCGCAGCTAATCGCAATATGTAGTTAAAAAAAAAAAAAAAAGGAAAAAGAAAAACGCACGATGGAAAGAGGGAGAAGGAGAAACGAAACGTCGGTTGCCTTATCTAGGAGCTCGCACCTGGCGTCTCCGTAGACGTCGTCCCGATAAACGTTATTTTTCGTTTTTTTTTTTTTTTTCAAACGGAGAAGAGACTTTTTCACGCAACTGAAAAAGGGTGGAGGAAAGAGGAACCGACGGAATTCACCCCAAAAAATCCTTTCTCCCCTCCCGCCTCTCCGCGGCCCCGAACGAATGCTCGAAGGTCGCGGGAGAGCTTCTCACGGGAGAAAAAAAAAGGCGTAATTTCGATGAGAAGAGGGGAATCGACGATGCAAATTCAAGGGTGAAAAGGGAAACTGGCGTGTTCGTCCGTGTGTAGACCTCGCGTACCTGCTTTTTTTCTTTCGTCTCGTACGCGTCGCCCGAGGGTTGGGAAGATCGATGCCGGGGTGTAATCAGCCGCGCGACGACGAAAACGAGGACGAGTAACTGAAATTTCCGAGAGAATCCACCAATACCGTGGCTCTTCGCTTGTCTGAGGCTGCTCTACCTGACCTGTCGTCTCTCTTCTGCCTCTCGTTTTTTTCTTTTTTTTCCATCGTTTCGGGGGAATCCGCGTCAGGTATGAAGGGGAGACACACAGATGCGGAGGAACGAAACACGGGGCGAACCTCGTGAAACTTTTGCGTCAAATTCACGGGATTCACAGGATTTTGAAACTTTTTTCTCCCCTCTTTCTGTCTTTCTTTCTTTTTTTCCTTTTTCGTTCACCTTCTTCACTCTCTTTCTCTCTCTCCGTGACTACCAGTTTCGTCTCACAGTAGCGAGCATCCCCCACCTGCGACCACGGTCTTTTTACGAGCGTTTCGCGAGCGTTTATCTCTATTCCCGGCCGCCTCTTCTCGGCCTTTGTCCCGCCACCGATGGGAAAGTTCGACGGGGCCAAGTGGCTAAGCGACTTCCTTTCTTCGCTACCTTGGTTCACTGACCTTTCTTGTTCTCGCGGTTCCAAATAGCCCTTCAGAATTCATTCTGATAAAGCAGAAATAGTTGAAAGGTCCATTCCTGTCGAACACTTCGATATATATATATTTTTTACATTTGGACGGTCTTGATCTCCCTTCTACTATTTTTTTCGTTCCTTTAATTTTTTCTTTTTTCCTAGGGTCTGCACGATTTGACGATTGAAGTCTGTATGTTTCTAAACATTTTATTTCAACGTGAAAAATTATTATATACATTCCGTGATATATCCAAACCTTCCGAGGCTAGTGATACAAAATTGAATTGCAAATTTCTCAAGATGTCTCATTAACACGAGTAACGAGTTAACTCGCCACTGGGATTTCAATCTTTCAAATATAATAATTCCTCTGTCTATTAATTATATCACTAACTCACAAATTACACTTTTAATTAATCACGTTCTCCACTTATTAATTTCTAAATTACATCTACAAGGATCAAGAGATCGAGCAAACCAAAATCAATTCTACAATATAAAAGTATCTTCGATTGAAAAGTACGCCATTTCGTGGGTAAAAGCTATCGAAAGTTGGCATTAATAAATCGGTGCAAACTTTCGTGAAAAGTTTCGCACGCAGGTATCCCCTTTTGCAAGAGTATCTCGGTACCCCGGCGTGTCGAAATAATTATTATTAAAAACCGTTGGACCAACGCGACACAGACCGGTAAGCTCGTTTTCTCGAACCGAGCGAATCGGTTCCGTGCCATTATCCGGCACGTACCCCTTTTTTTTTTCACGGGGAGGCGCGCGCGAAAGACGAAGGAAAGGGTGGCGAGGGAGGCTAGTCACAAGATACGATGATGGATGCGCGAAGGGTTGTTTCGCGCGCTGGAGGGAGAGCCAAAGGGCCAAAGGGTTCTCCGCGGGCAGCCAATCGTGCACGATCTTCGAATACCAGCGTCCAATCATTTGCAGCGACTTTTTATTCTCGTGGTAGTGGGGAGGATTCGGTCGTCCTTTTGGGGCACGATTTCGTTGCGTCATTCTGACATTCGTTCTGTATCGGTGCTTCGATGAGGATCGCTGGGTTTCGTTTATGATCCTCGGGATCCCGGCCGGCCGCCCTTGAACGTTGTACTAGAATATTCGGTTCGATTGGGTTACTCATGTTATTAATGTATCGCTAGCGATAGAATTGACGTCAGTGCTGATTAATATTAATTCATTGTTTGTAGCAACGTTTTCTTTGATAAGTTTGACGATTTTTAATTATTACCGGGATTGGTACCAATAGTAAAAGGTTATTGGTATATTGATAACGTTGCAGTTGACTTCTTCCTCGTAAGTTAAACAATTGTGGTTGCCGATTATTCACGTTATTAATATATCAGTAACGTTGCAGTTAAAGTCAGTGTTGATCCATCGTATCGTTAACGTTAAAATTTCTTCCACAAGCTTTGAAACGTAGAATTATCATCGTCGTCGGGGTATCGATAATGAAAGTTCGTCGCGTTATTAACACATCAGAATCACCACGTTGAAAATATATATTCAATGCTTACGATCGGTTTTGTTTGCCATTTTCGGAGTGTGCGGTGACGTTCTGTCGCGATGCGAAGAAGATATGCCGAATGAGAGAGAGATAGTTCGTCGTGACGATAGTTGATTGGTAGCGAAAGGTCACGGTCGTCGACCGTCGTGCTGGATCTTGGAACCAACCCTGATGTGAACGACGGATCACGAGGGTCCTCGAAAGCAATCGAGGACACGATGGTCTTCCTGGAAGACCCGAGGATGATCTTCGCGGACATGAGGCTTCATGCGACAAGCACGCCGACCTGCACCCCCACGCGTTACCTCCATCGGAAGTACAGGCCGCAGAACAACAACAACTGTACGAATTTAATAGCGAACTTGAAACTTATCTGTACATTTTTGACTATTGAGGAAGATTTCTTTTCCCTGCGTTGAAAATTTTGCAACAATTGCATTTAATTGGCGAGAAGAAGGTGTTGTTTAAATTGAAAATGTAACGTAGCGAGCGTTGAATTTCACGATGACAAAGTTGTTGAAAGAAGCTTTCTGTTGAATTTGAATTTAGAGAGTTCCTCGATGGAACATCGGCATTCGTCGGTATCGAATTTAATAGATTGGTAATTGAAGACTTCTTTTTGTATTTTTACAGATGCAGACCTTCACGGCGAAGTGGACGGACCGGACCTCAGCGGCGACGATAGGAGTATCAATAGTGATATTCAAGACGCCACTGAAGCGAACCTCGATCATGATTCCATGGACTCGGACAGGGAAGCTCTCAATTTGGTTAGTACAACTTTCTTCTTTCTTATTTTCGCTTTTCACCATTTGAAGCCACATCCAAATTATCCTCCTCTCCAAAAAAGTGAATTTATCTTTACGAAAGTCATTTTTCTTTTTTTCATTGTCGACAATCTTCCTACACTTTCATTTTCATTTATTCGAGTCTGGTAAAAACGACGCTGCTACTTAATATCGTAAGCTTCCGATGACACTTCCCTTTTTGGAAAAAAAAAAAAAAAAAGAAAAAGAAAAGAAAAGGAAACTCCCTTTTGTCTCGAAGCGATGACGAGAGTGCTCGATATTTTACAGTCATTTGTGAAGAGCGCAAAAAGCGTTCAATATTTGGCAAATAAATAAAGGAAGCCACTAGTGAGATGGACGACAAGAAGGGGCGGATAGAGAGGGATGTAAGGTTTTATAAAACACAAAAGCACAGGATGGACAGTAGTGACCAATATCCTGACCTGGTCGAGTGTAAACACGTCTTTGTTCGACGCCGTTTACTCTGTAACATTAGGGAGGGTGGCTTTTCCGCGATTCCTCCGATCTCTGCTCCCACGTAGAATTCATTCCACGAAAGTCGATTATTTCCTTCTTTTTTTTTTTCAAATTCACAATCATGTTTAAAAATTTATATTTTTTCTTAAATCAGAAAGGGGAGTAGTATATTAATATTTCGTGTTTCGAAGCATTTCTATTCGTTAGCTGTTAGCCCGTTAAATATTTTTACAATCACCACAATCCATAAATTAGAGTCATTTATATTCAACACGTTTCTCAGCGAGTAAAAATCTTTCTGGAAAAGTTTACATTAGCATTAAGCTGAGATTAGAATGAAATATTTAAGTAGTGATCTGTTTCAATTATTGCATTAAGTTATAAATTCTGATTTACTTCAAGCTCAAATTATTTCAACATACATTAAATAGCAGTAGCGTACGATCGAGTTGCAATTAACTCATGCTAACTTTGAATTATTTTCTTGAGAACGTTTATATTCGTAGCGATTTGCAATCTGCTCGATTTTCGATTAATCTTGCTTAACGAAAAGAATGTACTCCAGGTCACGGACGTGTCGCAGCGGAACAGCAGCAGCGGAACTAGCGGCAGCGCTTCCTCGCCTAGTTCCGGGGTGAGTAGTCAGTTAACTGGAAATCATCAACAGCAACAGCACACGGCAGGCCAGTCGAACAACAGCAACTCGCAAGCTGCCCTGGCTGCTCAACTAGTCAGCCAGCAATTGCTGATGCACGGATCTCTCGGCGCTCTCGGGCCGCAGGAAATTCAAGCGCTGGCGTCAACGTTCCAACAGCAACAGCAGTCGCTGCAGCAACAGCTGCAGCAACTAGCAATGTTTCAGCAAGCCAACTCCGCCGCGGCTGGCCAACTTCCGGCCCAGGCGCAGTTCTTCTTGCAGAACCAGGTTCGTGAAAACTTTCACATTATTTTCACCAGATTAGCCGATTACTGAATTACTGAAAAGGAAAACCTTTGTTGCTGGCACGATGCGTTGGGAAATCTGATTTTAATAGAGAAAGTAAGTTTAAAAGAAGGTCGTCGCGTTATTTAAACGTCTCAGAAAATTCGAACGCGACGGGAAGAATCGATTGGATCAACGATTATTTATACTCAGATATGTACCGTTGTTGTTGTCGGGATCACCGAGTTTAGATTATATTATTATTCATATTAGATTGCTCGGCATTTAGAGTATTTGATGTAATTTTCACATTAAAAAAATTTTCACAATTAAACAACCTAATTCTATATTGCTACAATCTTCAACGACATTAAAAGGGCATAACTAAAATTTTGGATATTTGATTTGATTTTGTACTGTAAATGTTGTTCGTAATGAAAATTTCAAAATTGAATAATTTTCTCCAAGACGTTACTATTATTATAATTAATTAAAAAGGATACCCTATCGTAGAACAACGTTAAAGGGTTGAAACAACCCCTAGAAATGAAACACGTTTCACAAGGAAGATCGGTGTTCTCGCAACAAAATTTCTTTTTCCCCCCCTTGTAAGAAAAGTCAGACGCGTTTCCTATCGCTGGTTAAAAGGAATTACGACAGCAGCGAACAAATGCATCCCCGTGTGCGCTCGAATTTCGACGCCATTGTTCTCCGGGCACTCGGCGAAATTACCTACTCGATGCGAATTCGATTCGAATCGTCGTCGGCTGGCGGGAACGGTGGAGGTAGATGAGCGCGAGTCCTCCAAAGAGGACGTTCCACGCGGTATCTGATCGACCGCTCGAAAAGAAGCAGACGTCTTATTCTTCGGGGACGGTTCGCTCGATTTGACGCAGAGATAGCCGGCTGTAGATGTCACAAAGGGACACGAGGTCTCGTTTCTGCTCGTTTGGCCTCGCGTTTTTTCCATCGCTGACGTGCTCTTTGGAAACGCTACTGTGGAAAATCGTGATTGATCGAATAATTAGAACTTGACGAGCACGAGGCCCGAGCGTTCGCCAAGCAGTAACCCAGATGAAAATTCAGCGAATAAGGTCGGCCTCTCTATAGAGAGTTCGTGGTCATGCTCGTCAAATTAGAATTTGACAGTCTTCGACTTTTTTTTTAGAAATGTTCTTTTCATTTGCATCGTGATGAAATTGAATCGAATGATTAGAACTCGATGACGGATGAGGAAGAATTTGCCAGTCTCCAATTAAATTTCAATAGTTGCACAGATTTTCTAGAAACCTTACCTCTCTGTTTTCATTGTAAAAGAACATCATCGAACCGATCAAACAGTTGGAATTTACCGACCATGGGAAAACATATGCCTGTCCCCCGTGAAATTTCCATAAATAAGATATTTCCGTGATCTTTCTGAGAAAAAAAAAAAAAGTTCTCTGTTCCCCTCACAAAGAAACTTGCCTACGTTCAATCTTCCGTTCGGTGAAGGTAAAAAATGATCGGCAAATACGTTCATCAGCTGCGCCCTCGTAAAGAGCATTCCCTGAATATCGTTCGTTTTGTGTGTGTTTTGTCCCGAGCGAGATCCTGCAGGATCGAAGTAAGAAAAATCGATATATCCGGGGATACGATGAAAAACGATCCTCCTTCCTGGATCGCCGCCGATCTCGCCTCCTCCCTCTGTCGCCCCCTCCCCCTCCCCCTCCCCCTCTCGAGAAATCGTTGAATGGAATCCTTCGGGGTCTCCTCCTCGAGGAGTGCATTTACGAACAAAATTTCTATAGATTCCACCACGTGAAGCGCGTGCACGTTCTACGTAACCTCCTTGGAAAAACTAACAAAACGACTTCGAACTTGAGCAGATTTAATGGCCGTGGTATACGTAGCTGCGAGGATTAAAGGCCTCGGGTCTTCCGTGTCTCCTTTGAAAGGTGCAACAAGGAGATCCCTTCGGCACCTTGCCACGGGGTGCCTTTTGTTACCTCACACGTGGCCAGGCTGTTTCTTTTCTCCTTCCCCTGTGTCCCTCCACCCCCTTGATCCTCCATCTTCCTTCCCCCGTCGTTTCGTCTTTTTCTTTTCGTTTACATCGAGTCGAGCAAACTCTCCCTCTCCACCTCCCTTCTTTTTTCTCCACCGCTTTTCGAGAACAGTCGCGGGATTAGAAACGCGGACACGCCGCGTATTCTCGTCGCGCAACCCTTCTTCGAGTCGGTTGCAACCTGCGTCAAAGATTCGAAGGGTTACACGCATGACGTAAGAGCATCGTCGTTCGTAACGCGGATTTGATTCCTCTCAAGCGTGTTTTTTTGGGTTACCAGCTGACACGTAACATCTCAAGTTTGTAACGATTCGTAACATTAATGTTTCAACTGCGTGGTGAAATTCGGGTCGATATTTAAGTCGCTATGATCCTTTCTATTCTAATTATTACCGAAATCTGATGATCATCCTGACAGATCGGACATTTAAGAGTAAATTATTTTTCTAATTTCAGAATTGATCTGTATCGTTATTACAGATATTAAAATTAAGTTGGAAAGTCTTTTGAATATCAAATCGTTTTAAATGCGTATTGAATATTAAAAAAAGAAAAGAAACACTGTATTTTGGATATTTTATATATTCTTTCATGTTTTATATATTCTTTCAATTCCACACTGTGAAACTTTCTATAAATGCAGAAAAGTCCGAGATAAGTCATTAATATTTACTTTCTGCCAAAAATTAGAAATATTTATTTTCTGTGCCCGATACTAAAAACTCCACGAATGCAATTTTTATTCAATCACGTAATAATACATGTAATAATAGAATAATATTACGCTATCAATAATTAAAATAGCTTATAAAATATAACACTAAAAAAGAGAGAAATAAAAATTCCATTGAGAGAGAGAGAGAGAGAGAGAGAGAGAGAGAGAGAGAGAGAGAGAAATAGAGAGATCGAAAGTTTCGATTTCCTGAATGTGCGTCTTTCGACTCGCTTTCAAAAATTCCTTATCACAACCAACGATCATGTAAATTAGCTGTGCACCGTGATTTTGCATTTGTACCTATTACTTTCACCGTCTTTCCCAGATATAGGAAGTAAAAACGCAAGTCATGCTTTCTAGTTTTGATATTCCGACTGAATTCGCGTGAATACAGGTGAATTTTAAGTGTTGTCGAATTGAACCTGCGCGGTGGCACGTGGCGGTATTCAAAGCACCCTTCGCAGGGTGTCTTCGCGATCGACAATAAGCATAAACCGGCTTGACACGCGACCAATCCCTAGAAACCCTTTTCCTCCCCGGGCAACTCGTTTCGCACCGGCCCCTTATTCTCGTAATCGAGCATCTGGTTAAGAAAAGGGTGAAGATAATCGATCGGTTCGCGACCGCCCCTTCGGCGACTTCTCCCGTACCTGTCCACGGGCGCAACACGTGTCGCCTTCCGAATAGGAACCGCATAATCCACCGTCGCGTGGAGCTACGCGGTTTAATGTCTGCCATTTATCTCCAATAAGGGGTTAGAAAGATCACCGTGATCGATAACCGGCACGATTTTTCAAGGGCGGTTCCGAGGCACTAAGATTCGCAAGGCTTTCAAAGGACTCTTTTCACGTTCTTTTGCTCACTTTCCAATCCAATTATGGCATGTAGAGTGTCCTGCGAACTGTGGAAAACTGACACTTTTTTTTTTTTTCCATCTAAGACTTCGCTTTTAAGGAAATCGAAATTTGAAAATTTGTCAAGTGTAACACTCGAATATATTGTTGATTCTGTATAATAGGATTGAGGTCGTATTTACAACGTTCAAGTGAATCAATTAAAAAAATGTATAAGAATTATCCTACGTAAATAGAATAGATTTGCGTCCTTTTACCGTAGTATATCAATATTAATCGTTAGTTATACAAAGAAGATGCGATCAATGGTGGTCAACCGTCTTGCAGGGGCTGTTGCAGAGCGGTGGCTACTCCTCAAGATCCAGTCATCCGCGCTCACAGTCCACGCAGGTACGACAGACCATAAAATCTATTGAATTAACCCCTTGAAGGCTCATTGGATTTTTTTTTATGTTCCATTTTCCTGTTACAGCTATAGTTTCTATTCTAGTTATAAATTCTTTCAAAAAGAAACTTTCTTTAAGAAATATATAATACTTACTGCTCGAGCCATCGTTCCATCGATGTTTTAATCTCTCCATTTTTTAGTCAAACTATGTCAGAGCAATCAAACGTCCAGTACTTGTGATTAACTAGAACCTGCCGGCAAATTCGTATGAAACAGGTCAGCGGGGGAAAATGTTACAGTTGAAAGTCACAGCAATACAAAGCCCTGCAAAATGATACACAGTATTACATTAATCGTTATATCGTACTATTCACGATCTTCTTCACTATTTAATCAACGCGGTCGCTATTCACCTAAACGTTCAACATCTCGAATCGGATCCGTGATACTTGGTCCATCGAGCCACAGTACAATTATCACACGTAAAATTTTCTACGTAGGCAAACGTAACATCACGGGGACGAAGCCTAAGGAGTTAATTTAAAAAAAGAGAAAGTCCTTTAACTGTATACTTTCTTCACCGTACTCGGAGAACGAAAAGAAGGCGGAAAAGAAAGAAGAAAATTCAATTACGTGTTGTCAGGTGCAGCAGGCAGTGGCACAGGCAGCCCAGCAATTGCAAGCTCTGCAGAAGCAACAGGCTCTTCAAGGTAGCGGAGGCTTAGTTGGTCGAAGTCTGAGCCAACAAAGGTCGCCACCGCCGCCTGGAACACCTCCAGCGGTGAAACAGCCGCCACCAAGATTGGAACCATCGCCGGAGGAGACCACGGACCTCGAGGAATTAGAACAGTTCGCCAAGACCTTCAAACAGAGGCGGATCAAACTCGGCTTCACCCAAGGCGACGTTGGACTCGCCATGGGCAAACTTTACGGCAACGATTTCTCCCAGACGACGATCTCCAGGTGGGCAATTCTTGTAATTACGAACGAGACGAGCAACTGAAAGATCGCTACGTCCATTTTACGACTCCATTACGATTTTGTTTTTCGTTCTTGTTCACCAGGTTCGAGGCGTTGAATCTTTCGTTTAAGAACATGTGCAAATTGAAGCCGCTTCTGCAGAAATGGTTGGAGGACGCGGACAACTCGCTGAACAACCCGAATTCACTTTCGAACCCACTTACCACACCGGAAGCGATAGGCAGACGACGGAAAAAAAGAACGTCGATAGAGACCAGCGTGAGGGTCGCTCTGGAGAAAGCGTTCGTGCAAAACCCGAAGCCTACTTCGGAGGAAATTACCGTGTTAGCGGACACTTTGGCCATGGAGAAAGAAGTAGTCAGGGTATGGTTTTGTAACAGGTGAGCATAAAAAAATTCTTTCTTTTTCTAAAATTATGTATGTGTGTACGTCGTCTCAAAAAGGGAATTGTCAGTCCTCTAAAGATTAATATGTGTCATATGTAGTTGTTTGACTAGAGGTAATTTTCAAAATAGAAATCATAGAGTTAAAATTGTGTGAGAAACAAAAAAAAAAAAAAAAAAAAAACCTATCCGTTTGTAATAATTGTACGTAACATCAGTTTAATAGTTCTAATCACGCTGCATGCGCAGGAAAGTTCTCATACATTTATAGGAAATATTGGAAATATAAAGCCATGGTTCCATTTTAAATTGCGTTCTCAGAGAACGAATTGAAAAACATGAAACATGAGATATAAATGTTTGTGATACGAATGTTTCCAAAGAAAACGTTCTCGAAAATATAAATAAAAAATCCGTAGACTTGTAACAACGTATAACGAAGCGCTTCATCGCCGCATCCCGCCTCATTGCAGACGACAGAAAGAGAAAAGGATCAATCCACCAACGGCTGCGATGGGCAGTCCGACAATGGCATCGCCAGCACCTTCGGTCTTCGGATCACTCGCCAGTAGTATGTCCGGCAGCCCTCTTGCTCTGACGACTCATTCATCAGGCATCGCGCATCCTCATACCCATCAGACACCTCTCGGTTCGCCGTTACCCTTGGCCTTGGTGGGTTCTGCAAGTGGAAACTATCATCCGCTCAGCAGCAAGTCTCACGAGTGACACCAGCCCACCCATCAGGGGGAGACGCTTTACCATCAGCACCATCAACATCACCCACCACATCAGCAACAACAGCAACGACGTTTGTGCAATCTACCAGAATTTTATCACTAATCGTGACGATGATTTAGTGACCACTCGAACGTTTGATTGACTTCATAGAATGTTCAAAGCGCGGTGAAATCGACAGAGTCGAGCGATGCGCGTTTATCGAGGTTGGAAATAGCTGACGGCATGATACGATTCCAAACATATCCTGGTATCTTCACTTGGAAGAAATTGTATCAAGAATGAAAGCAATCTGTAATGTTGGATGATGATCGATGAATTCGAAAACGATGGGGAGCCTCGGCGAAGGAGATCGTTGGTGTCTTTCTCTATCTTTAGGAACAAGAGACTCTTAACAAAATTTTGTCGTCTAAAGGTTTGTCCAGCGTTGTACTTCGAACGTTTCGCATCGCAGTATCACTTGTGTTTGTCTTCGTTTCGTTGATTGGATCGATTGGCACGATGTGGCGTGGAATCGAATTTCATAAGGATCATGTGATTAGATTATTTTTTTTTAATTCCCTCGAGCGTATTTATTTTACTCGGCATGATTTATAAAAAAATGACTAGTATAGATTTGAATTTCGTTCTGCATGCCAAATAATTACAGGATCGTTTCCGCTGATCGATGTTTATTTTTATACAAGATGCAATTAACGACACGAGTACAACCGGCTGTGAACTCTTATAAAACAAGCCACTTAATCGGTTTCTGCAGCATGTCACTTGAATTGTCATCAAATATTTACATATATCAAATACATATATTATATCAGTAGAGAGAAAATAGGGGTGAATCATTCGACGATACGTGTAATTGTCGACTGATTCTCCTCCGTGTCCTTCGAGTTTCCTTCGATCCATCGAGCGATTTCGTTACACACTGCATTTCATGTGCACGTTGTTTCACGGTCTCGAAAAATTCGGTCGAATTTTTCGAAATCGTGAAACCAAATCAAAAAAGAAGGCTACTCGAGAATTTCTCTCGTGCATTCGTGTAACGAATTACGGCGGAACGTACGATTCGGAATAGAAAGAACAGCGAGGAAACGACGAACCTTTTCGTTCATCGATCGTGTTGCGATCAAGACGATCCCTTCGAAGAGGCCGAACATTCCTTGAAAGTACTCGCTTCTTCGTGATAAGCAGGGTTTATACGCCACTTGCGAGGGAACGTTCTTCGAGATCGAAAACTTGTTTGTTATTAATGAGTAGTCTGCGGAGTTTTAAACATTTGCGCGAAATTTACATTGAAAAATAATTTCGAAATAATTATCTGTTACAATTTACATTGAAAAATAATTTCGAAATAATTATCTGTTACAATTCGACTATGGATTTTCATGTATTTATGTGAGATTCGAAAACCTCATCGACCGTGCGAAGCTGCTGAAATAATTAGATTACATTATTTATTTTTAATTATAATTGGATTTTTATGTATTTATGTGAAATTTGAAAGTACGAAAATACACATGAAGCGCAGAACTTAAAATAAAATATTCAAAATGCTGGCTTGTTATGATAGTGTAACATATTATAGGCTTGTTATGATATTTAATAAGCGAAGTATAAGCTTCGACTACGTTCTGATTACTTAACGAAGATATGAATTTGTCCGTAATCCGTAATCTCTAAGTGGCGGCAAAGGAGTATAAGTCAGAAACATTATTTAGCAGAAAAGTATTTATAATGTTCAAATTTAAAGTGCAATGTAAAGTCAGGTGTTGGATTTCGGTTTGTGATATTTGATAACAATTATGCCTCGACCCCCTTAAAATGTACATCATATTTTTGAAAATGATTGTTTTTATTGGAATTTGACTTATAATCTTTTTTTCCTACTTATCAGAGTGTTATAATGCTTGAAAAGCATTAGAGCAACAAATCCGGCTGTATTCGTAAAAATTTGACTTTGCATGGACATGTGCAGTTAGTGATGTTTTATTTGACACTGAAATATTCACTGCCACCGATGAACTATTTAATCTTCGATGAACAAAAAAAAGAATGGAAGATTCTTCTTCTACTTAAAAATCAATGATTAATTGATAGTTTAGGCTACTTCTACTTTCATCGAGTGTAATTAATATAGAAATCAAACGAGCCTTCGATCTTCAAGTTTGAAGCTCCTCTTGAAGTGGTGAACATGCGGCAAGGACCGACAATACGACATGTATATAATTATTATGCGTTTGCGTGTCTGTCGTCATACATATCCGTGTTTTGAGTTTGTACATATAGGCGAGAAAGGAGAAAAAATAAAATACATACCGAGAAACGTGCGTGCGTAATTTTGTAGTAGAAAAAGAGAGAGAGAGAGAGAGTGAGAGGGGGGGAGGAGAATACGGAAAATGGCTCGTTTATCTTCAACAGTGAGGTCCTCGTCCAAGCCTTGGACGAACGATTTTCAACGAATCGTAATTACTCAAACCAAAGTATCGTCACGCTTAATCGTTGTAGAACGCGTAATCAACGTAGACGAAAGTAACGAAAAGATAGATTCTCAGGAGGATGAACGAAAAAGCGTGCTACGTATTCTCTGTTTTTTGGACAGACACGACGATTAGCTGTTGTAGATATGTCTGTATCTGTACATACGGTGACATTGGCAAGCGTCGCATACGTAGCTCGTATACGTTTACACAAGTTGATCGATCACGCTCGAGTTTCCGTAGCCACCACGATGTTAGTAATGTTCGTTAGAACGCGCGAACTCTCGACTCTGATCGCGATGAAACTCCTTAAGTTAAAGGCTATGAATTATAAAGGCTCGACAAAGGGATGAAACAAATGGTGATTACGTAATAGTCTTCGGACAGGTTTACACGTAGAAGTTTGTAATCGCCGTACGCTAGGAGCCGTCAATATATACGGCATATATTATACATTATGTTACTTGTGCGTATGTGTGCGTATGAAGCACAGGTAGTCGTTGCGCGAACTTCAGGAATATACATATACAGGGTGGGATCCACTTCGGGAGCTGATTGTACGTCTAAAAATAATGAAAAAAAGTCATATAAATATATGTCCTATCTGTCTTCGTTTATGAAATATAATGAATTTTTTGTTTTAATTACTTTTACAAAAGATGCTCGAAATGACCACCTTGCATTTGAAGACAAGCCTGCACGCGTTTTGTCATTCATCTGGTTACTCTTTCTATCATTCCTGGTGTTTCTCGAATTTGTCGGAAGCCTTGTTCTATTCTATTTCGTAGTATTTCAGCATGCTCAATCGATGTTGCGTATACAATAGATTTTAAATGTCCCCACAAATGAAAATCTAATGGATTGAAATCCGGAGAACGAGCAGGCCATGCAATAGGACCTCCACGACCAATCTATTTATTTGCAAAGTGTCGATTGAAAAATTGCCTAGCCACTCGGCTAAAATGCGGCGGAGCTCCATCATGCATAAACCGCATACGAAGTCTAATATCGAATTGGAACTTCCTCTAATATTTCGTGTAAACGCGTGCTCAAAAAATCAACGTACTTTGTGCCTGTTCATCAAGAAAGAAAGGTCCAATTAAAGATTTATCAATTATTCCTGCCCATACGTTTAAACTAAAATGTTGATGTCTTGAAAGCACAATAACATGTGGGTTTTCTTCATCCCAATTATGATTATTATGAAAATTGAATGTACCATCCCTGGTAAAACTAGCTTACTAGAGTTTGCTCTGCTTATATAATTCATTATATCTCATAAACGAAGACAGATAGGACATATATTTATATGACTTCTTTTCGTTATTTTTAGATGTACAATCAGCTCCCAAAGTAGGTCCCACAAGTTACAAAACACCCTGTATGTATAAATATACATACTATACATAAATTTATAAAGTAAACGTGTTGTAAATAACAGAGAGATAGGACAGAGAACGGCGATTAGCGAATCCGCGGCGGATTTATTCACCGTGACGCGTTCGTTTCTTATTATTGCGACGCTTATTATTAAGTAATTTTTAATTATAGTGTACCATCGGGCAACGCTGATCGCCACAGCGATCGTAAGTTCGAGAAATCGTGGAAGAACTCGAATTTGTAACTCGGCTGTAACATTCGTGCAACAAACGTGGATCGAATTGCTTCTTCCTTTTATCTGTTCTACTTATTTTTTTCATTACTTTCTATACATAATACATCGATCAACGATGAGGAAATTATTTCAAGCGTGTGCTACGATAACAAACAGAAAAATCATTGTCGTTGTTAAGTGCTGATAAATGTCTGGTAACTGTAGCACTTATACTACATTACCAAATATTCTTGATACTGACGTTTATTTCCAGTACTCAATCATCTCGTTCTTACGATCGGCAACATCAACCAGTTAAATCCGTGTATATATATTTGTTGCAAGAGTTATTTCATTTTATATGTATATAGCATTGAGCGTATGCTATCCGGTAATGTGTATGCGTATCACGAGCACGACGTGTGTGTATATATATTTGATATTATATTATATGTAATTTTCTACGGAAGCTGTGTGAACGCAACGCGATACGTCACAATATATATTTTCGGTATTCTGATATATCGTGGACGCGTAATTATATATAATATAATATAATATAACATGTGTATGCATGTATGTATGTATGTATGTATGTATATATGTAAACGCGTACGAGATCTCATATCGATCACGCGCGTCTTTTCGTTCTTAGATCATTCGAACACAGGCATCGAAATACACGCGATCACCCCTCCCACCCTCCCACCATTTCCTTTCACATAACCATCCTCATCTCATAGTTTCACAACTTCGAGTTTCCATCTCTTCGATTGATCCTTTACTTCGTTTTATTTCGAATCATTAACTTCCAGAGTCGTGGACCAAGCTGTAGTGAAAATTACATGAATGAGAAAGAAAGAGCGAGAGAAAATATTGCGGGGAGATAAAAAAAAAAAAAAGAGTTCCTAGAGCACCAGTTTCGAGTGCGTTACGTAGACGTTTTATAAATTCAGCACGATGAACGGATGTGTAATCAATAGAAATGTGAGAAAAACTGGTAAAGCGGGAAGAACACAATTCCTGAGACGGAAAATGAGAAACGAACAGCATATAAATTAGGGTCACTTACACCTTCTTTGTCTTTTGTTCATTTTTTCTTTTTTTTTCGTTCGTCGGAAGTATTTTTTTTTTTTTGTAGACAGATGAGAGAAAGAGAATAGAATTGAACCCATATCCTCTAATCGATGTGTTTATTTTCTTTTTTCTCGTGAACTTCGATAAGCCAGCGCATTTCGCAAGCGATAGATACATTATTATTGATTATCATTATTATTATTATTATTATTATTAATTATTTCATTATATTTTAACTTTTATTATTTGAAAATAAAAGTGCTAGACAGACTTTAGTTACTTTTTGTTCTTTTCATTTTCTTTCTGTCTATCCTTTGCATTTCCTGTTTTTGTTTCTTTATATAGAACATGCAGATAATCCTAGAGCGTTCCCTACTGTATCTGATAACACTTAATCGACAGAGCAAGAACTATGGATTTATTTATTTCTTTCATTTTCTTTTATTGATTTTTCAAGATCTCGAGACACGTTTACGCAATATCGCCGGTAGGTTTACCAGTCGAGGGTTAGGAAGATCAGTTGCTGTCAAGTGCTACGTGCATTATTGTTATCTAGCAACGTTTTGCAAGTATTTAATCACGAGCCTCTGTAAATACTTTTCGTTCTTTTCTCTTTCGGTACAGAGTACATCGATTTAATTTCAAACATTCGATCCGGTATTTTCGTTATAATATTCGAAAGGAAGATTCGTCGGAAGTTAATGCGAAAACGCGTAAGATTTTACTCCTACCGTCCCATCGCGTTTTTTTTCCTGTAAATATATATGCGAAATAGCGTAAAAATCGCGCGAGGAAACGCTGGCGTTAAAAAGAAAAAAAAGAAAAAAAGACGCGCCAAGAAGCGCGTTCCCTTTCGAGATGGCAGCACGAACGAAACCAAAGCGGTTGGTACATCGAGAATTAGTCGACTAATCTCAATCAGTAGCGGTGTATAATTGTCTTTTGAGAGAACTCTAGCGTTATATAGAAATCTATTAAACAATTCGATGTGTAACTCGTTAATATTGGGACGCGAGCGTCGCTCGACTCGATGCCTAGGAGTAACGTTTAAGTAATAAGAACTGAAGGTAACATTAAACGGTAACACTGTGACAAGTGAGACAAAACTAAAAATTTAGAGGATATAATTAATTAAGAGGAATGGAAGGGGGAGAAAAAAAAAAGAAAAAATAATAAGAGCACGGTATGACAGTTCTTAAAAGATTAAACGAAATAATATTTAGAGTCGTGAGAATAGGGGTAAGTCCTTGTTCGATGACAAAGTTGTCTAAACTATTTTGTACCGAGAATTAGAGGCGTCTTCGTGAGACTCGCGATCTTTTTAAGGCAGTTCATTCGCGTACGCGTGACCATGAAATCTCATGCCACGGCACTACGATTAGGAATTAATTAATTGCAAAGCGTGTTTCTGACGTCCGCCCTTGATGTTCCGCGTTGGTCCTCCTCAGGGCTTTGCCGGAAGTTGGAGTGAAAGGTAGAGAGAATGTGAAAAGGCTGGGTGTGCGTGTGCTAATGGAAAAATGTATAAATAAAGTCATATCAACTCTGGAATAGTTCATGTTATCTAGGATATACTATTACTACGATCATTATCACAATATGATTAGTAAGAGTATTGTAATTGTATAATAAACTGCGTCATAGATACCTTACGCGTTCATTCTGTCATTAATTGAAATCTCCTTTCGAGAACACTGTTGCCAGCTGAAAGGTAACTTAATGCATAGTTTAAGTATTTACTGATTGCGCTATAATATTCCAATTTTTATTAATCACGATAGCTGAAGATAAATACCTAAACACGTAACTCTAGACAGCTCAATCATAAATCGCGCCAATGGAATTTTCGTAAGTCCGTAGTACGCCGCGAGGTGGCAGTAGTCAGTGTCCGCTTTTCGCGCGCCGCACACTTTGTACGCTCCGTATTGTGGAAAGTTTTCAAAAGATTTTATTAAATATTTGTCAATAATTCTCGATATTTTTATACAGATTGTGTTGTCCAAACGTTCTATTTATTAGACGATATATAAATCTTAATTTTCATTCAGTGTAATTTAGATTCCTTTGCCTTTGATGAACATTTCGTTTAAACGCTTCGGTAGTGGGCTCCATCTTGCAATTGCGCGATTCGTCCGCTGGTGAATGTCAGTAACCTAACCTCAATTCTAGCTCGACACGCTCAATTGTCACGTGTAAGTACCAAGTAAACAAATACTAAAATTTTTATCGTATACGTCGATTTCGAAACGGTGTTACAAAACATTATTATGATATCAATGAGATCAATTCTATTCTTGTAACGTGAAAGTGATCAAACGATTCTTGGTGTGAAATTCGGTAAGTTTAACCGTTTAATGGAGTGATAGAACACTGTGTGAAGAATGAGTGATTCCGAAAAAGAGGATGGTCCGACTACAACAGGACCGGTGGACAATGCTTGGTCGTTAAAAATCCCATCTTTTAAGCCTGAGGATAATCCTCATCGTTTGCTCGAAGAGAGTTCATTCGCTACTTTGTTCCCCAAGTATAGAGAACAATACTTGAAAGAACATTGGCCATTAATTCAGAAAGCGTTAGACGAGCATGCACTCAAGGCTGAGATGGATCTGGTCGAAGGTAGCATGACTGTGAAGACTACCAGAAAAACGTGGGATCCTTACATTATAATTAAAGCTCGTGACATGATTAAACTCATGTCTAGGTCTGTACCATTCGAGCAAGCGGTGAGAGTACTTCAAGATGACATTGGTGCAGATATCATAAAAATCTCCTCTTTCGTAAGAAACAGAGATAAATTTGTCAAGAGACGTCAGAGACTCATAGGCCCAAAAGGGTGTACCTTGAAATCCATCGAATTGTTGACAAACTGTTACGTTGTAGTGCAAGGACAGACTGTAGCTGCACTAGGCCCTTACAAAGGTCTTGCCCAAGCAAGACGTATTATTGAAGATACTATGAAGAATATTCATCCCATTTACAACATCAAAGCATTGATGATTAAGAGAGAACTGGCTAAGGATCCAAAATTGAAAAATGAAAATTGGGAAAGATTTTTGCCTAAATTCAACAGTAAGAATATTAGCAAGAGGAAACAACCGAAGAACAAGAAAGAAAAGAAACCGTATACTCCGTTCCCACCTCCTCAACAAGAGAGCAAGATAGACAAGATGATGGCTTCTGGAGAATATTTCTTAAAGGAGGAGCAAAAGATAGCGAAGAGAAAGAGAGAGCAGAACATGAGGCACCAGGAGGCTGAGAAGAAAAGGCAAGAACGCAGAGCGCAAGCGTTTGTACCACCTGAAGAGGAGTCTAAAGAAAAGAAAGAACAGAGTGACGATGTAAATTTGGATGAATTTAAGAAGAAGGTTAAAAAGGCACTGAAGAAACGCGGTGCCCAGTCATAGCATTTGCTAGCAAATTCGCAAACTGATGTCATTTGCTAAATTGTCAATTGTTGCTTGTACATTATACATGTTTTCAATAAAATAGAAGTTTAAGAAAGACTCGTGTAGTTTTTGGAATAATTTTAATTCCATCGTTTTATTAAAAAAAAAAAAAACCTTGTTTCTGTAAGTACTATAATATCGCGTTCTTAATGTACGATATTCGAATATATGTAAGTAGTTACCAGCCGCGTATATACTTACATATATTTCCAGTTTCTTTAGTATGATACATTTGCAAAATACAGAGTCGTAGAAATACAACGTGTACACCTTGAGGACAGGTATTCGATGTCGAAAACGAACGTCCATATACGCAACACATATTTTCCTCTCCAGGATTATTTTCGTAGGTTCGTGTTACAATTCCGATATAGCTTTCAAGCTATCCAATGGATCACGTGTGTCCATATGTACGAAACGAAATTTCAAATAAAACTCTCATCCCTTAACAGCTAATGTTTAAATAAAGAAACGTTACTTGTCAAGTTTTCGATCTCCTGAAACATATCAATCGCGTTTACCGCAACTAAAAAGCAACCGGGATTTCAACGATCGTTCTTTCCTCGAAGCAGCGCGTCATCTCGATAAACACGAGGCTAATAAAGAATTCAATGTATCGTACATATATATGATAGAGAAGTCGGAAATATTCGTGATAATGTACAGCGTATCCCTTATTGTTAGTTCGAGAGCACGTGAATCCAGTGCGTTGTACCTTAAACGTTAAGTCGGAGTCGCTCGTTTATCTTACAGCATACAAAGATTCATGGAAGTACGACGCTTTTATTTAACTTACACCGTAGACACGTTATATGTACAGCACGCGATTATGGTTGCCTCGTTGCTCGCGAAACGCGCGAACGAAAGAAAGTGACGAGCAACGCGTCGTGCGTTCGCAGAGTTCGCTCGAAGACGCCTCAGGACGGGAAACGGAGGATCGATCGATCGCGTAGAAGTATTTACAGCGCGTCGATTCGCGAGTCGATCGGGAGAGGAAGTCCTCTATTGTTCTACGTGTCGTAATATCCATTTGATACATTTGTTCGATTATGACGTTTCGTAGACCCGGTGGATGTTTGCTCGAGGAAATTAGGCAAAATTCTTCCGTTTAAACGCGTTATCGTTACCCTCTCGATATTTTTGTCTGCTCGATTATAATGAAATTATTTTCATAAATCCGAAGGATCTTGCCCGAGGGAATTGGGCAAAGTTTCCACCTTCAAACGGTGATTATCGTTCGCGGTTCGCGTTTAATTTAGCGGTCGAGCTAAAAAAGTGTTTAATTAAGAATTAAAAATGACGAGAGAAGTGCGTGATAAAAGTACACTGTAATATACATCGCAGTAATATTCCAAAATGCACGCGATACATTGTTCATGTACTCCATCGTGCACTTGGGACATCATCGCGCGTGGAGTGCGCTAATTATACGTAAAGTTCGTGCTAAATTGACGGCCCGAAATATGCGCGTTTAGAAGATTTTTTTTTTTTTCAATAAACGAGACGTTTCAAACATATATGTACAATAGTTCAGAGTCGATTAAATTCCAATTAATATCGTTCGATGGCTTAGCTTAACGTGTTTAAGAGTAAAAACAATCTCTCTCCCTCGAATCTGTACACCGGCTTCGTGTGACCACCAACGTGCGTAGATCATTCTGGGCGCGCTCGTATCATACAAAAGCTTACAATAACTCGATAGCGTAACTTCTGTGTACTTATATGTATACGTGCGTCAGAGGTCGAAATGACAGCAGTCGAATCATTGTTGTTCGTGAGAGTGTCAGTATATAAAAGATCGTTCTCTCGCTATAATATTGCTGTATAGTAGTTGCACCACTTTCTCGCCTCTGAACGACTCGGCGTGTTGTATTAATTCAATTAATTCCTTTAACTCAGAGATTCACCCTTTTTTAACGAGGTAAAATTTGTCGTTAGGTACCAGAACGACGAAAGTAAATTCGAAGAAACAACAACAAAATGAACAATTTTTGCAGTGGACTTCGCAACACGTCGAGTCTTCACGAGGTGAGCACAATTTTCCAGCTATTCGCACAACCAAGTAAATGTACAACTTTCTTATAGAAAAATAAATCTCTTTGTGAGAATGGTAGCATGTCTTTGGATCGAGAAGCACCCGATTCGCCTCGCGATCTATAGCTCGATCGGGGACACAAATCGATATCGACGCGCCATATCATGCGTGTGTTTATGTACGTGTGTGTGTATCGTGTGCTAAAAAATTAATGGTCGATCTGGAAATAGCATATTTGCCTTTTTATTCGCTGTTTAAGGCCATGGAAATAGGGGAATTGATAAAAAGCTACAATTTCGTTTCTTTTCATTATTTTCGTTTCACTCTTGCGGGGACAATGCTGATGAATCAGTCGTTAACAATAAATCGCGCGTCGATCGAATGAGAATTTGTGAACGTTTCGATGTTTGTTTAAACGATATTCAAACGGGGTAAACGAGTCGAGAGTTCGCTTAAAATTACGTGGTTGTAACATTTTCGTTTTCGTTCTACGCGCAGTGTAGTTTCAGAAATGATTCCACTTGAGATCATCGAAGTTAACGTAAGTGCACCGGAATGAAACAGCCCTTCGAAATGAACCGTTCGTCGACTAGGACAAACTCTCGTTTTACGTAACACTGATCAATTAAAATATATATATAAAAAAAAGAAAAGCCTAGACGTAGTCTTTGTTCATTGCTAGGCTGCGGATATTCGTGCAATTTCACAATTTTTAGCTGTAATTAATATTTATTTTAAAAAACTTTCTTTCAAAGAATCATTACTTAATATATATGTATATGTATAAATTTCCTTACATTTCTCAAGGACGCATAAACATCCGCAGTCCATTAATCACAAAATCAATTCCTCATACTTGTGAACTTGTCAAACTTTCGTATCACTTTCTACTCAAAGTGAAACAAAAAAAAAAAAAAGACAACCTGTTTCTCCGTCGTGAAACCTCAAAATACAGGAATTCAATTCCAATTTCAAACATTCCTCCAAACAGTCTCATTATATCTACGAGTACATCGGACCGATATATCACCCTTCTGATTTAGATAGTTCTTCGCGTTCGCGCTTCGTCAAGGTCTTCTCCTTTCTTTCTCACGGAGCAGCGAAACCCCCGATGTAAATCATCGTCGGGTTCGATTGAGCAGCCTCGATCTCGGATCGATCAGATCGCTCTCCCTGATTAGATCGACCCTCCCTCTTCTGATCAGATACCGCACTCGCTCGGTCCTTCGTGAGTGACGACGACACCGCGGTCTTCACGAGACACTGGTGGTCCTTGGGAGCTAGTGATTGTTATTGTAAAGATGCCACCTTTGCGTCTCGGCGTTTGAGTCGCATTTCTCCGCGGTGATGCCCCTTTGCGCGTGATATCTCGAGTCCACGCACACCGGGATCCTCGAATGGCGGATCAGGCCACCCTCCAGGTGCCTCCATTTCTGGTTCTCGCTACCGTCGCAGATTTGCATTAACAGCGTCGTGCCTTTCGCGTACACCGGCAGCGTTAGGCAGAGATCGTGGTGCTTGATGAGACCGTCCTTCGTCAGGCCCCATTCCTGCAAGAAATTATTTCGATGGGTTTAAACAGAATATGTTTGGAAGTTCGGAGGGTTAATTTCTAGGGAAATTTTAGGACGACGGAATCCCCGAAGTGCAAGTGATCCGTTAAATTAACTCTTCAACGTTCAGTATCTATACGATTCTACATGGAATATTTTTTTATTTTTCATTTTGAAGAGTTGTTAATTAATCAAATGATAAACGTACTTTTCCGGGGGTAAATACAATTTATTGATTGACAATTGACTTATCATCGCATGATACAAGTCTAACAACTGGACTCCGGGTTTTTATTCATTTGTAGTACAAAATATTCAAATTTGTAATATTTTTTTATTTAATTTCCTCAATTATATTCTGAGAAATAGAAGTTCAATCCCCGTAAAAATCTGCAGTCTGCTAATAACTTCGTATCAATTCATCAATTCCTCTCCCTCGAGGAGAGGCAAACTCGATCCGCATACATTAAAGCAAAGAGTCTCAAAAGGGGATCTGAAAACAATCGTCAAAGGGGTGTTTTCTTTTCTCTTTGAAACTTCTCTGGCAAGACCGAGCTGTCCGGTCGATCCGTTAATCTACCAGCGCGGAATCCTCGGGCGCGATAATTGAAACGTAAAATTGAATACGCGGATTAATAATAGCGGCATGGCGAAGAGTTATTTCTACGAGAGCCACGCGGTGGTCGAGTTTACTCAGAACACAGTGCAGCGGTGCGCAATGAATAACGAGGGCAGAGGATGGTACACTCACTTGGTTACCACCGGTGTCGTGACACGGGTAAAGACCCACGTTCCCATCGAGAAGGTGGCCCATACTGTCCAGACATGCTGTACCCTGTTTCAACGATCCACCGGGGCCACCCTCGCTCGTCGGTATAACCAGCTCGGGATATACGTTTTTCAGATACCAGCTGAAGGGCTTGCAATGCAATTTCCGCTTCAGCTCCATCCTGTCTTGAATACTGAAACAAGGGAAACGGTTTTATTAATACAGCTCACGTGCGCTGACGCGTTTTAATGAAATCGACTATCGGATATTTCGGCCGGTGAATCGATCCTCCTCGATTTCTCGCGCATGGAAATAAGACGGCCAGTGTTACGTTAGCGATACAACCGGCTGATTTCCTCTGGTGTATCATCCACGCATATGAGTTCTAACTATGAAATTAGACGCGTGTGACCTGCAGAAACTCTATACCGTAAATCAATGAATGGATGTTTAAATGAAAGCGAATTTTTCATAGGCATTTATACAAGTGCAGAAACAATATTATATAGTAGTTTTTTTTTTCTTTTTTTTTTAAAGAAGTTCAATGTGCCAATTTTATTTCACCTACGTAGGGAAAGATGGTCATCGTATCGCGTAACGATTCATTCGTTTTATAATTTACGTATGCTGTACTTTTTAATTTCACGAAATTACGTCGAAAAACATGGAAATTAGTCAGTGATAAACGATCAAAAGAAACTTCGTACGCGCGAAACTTTGGCCAGTGAATAGATCACCGAAATTGTTCCGGGAAGTATCGATGTTGCTCTTGGTAGCGAGAATCGCTGTTGTGGCCGGGTAATTTATGTTCTTCGTAGAGGAGGAACAACGTATTTCGTTGTCCTGTTTTTCTTTGGTGTACCGATATTTGGAAGCTCAACACGTTCGCCGTTTCGCGGACCCGTGCGTATAAGTCATCCAGTGTTGGTTAGTCGACGATATTGCGCCGATATTTTAGACGCAGGCAAATTAATTGCGATGTATTTCAGTTTCGGCTCTGACCTCGATCTTAACTCGAACGAATATAGATTGTGTGTTAACAAAGTATAAACGCAACAAAGTGTTTGTAATTTCCTTTACAATTATGATATATACGAGTTGAAATGAAAATGAAGAAGTTCAAAGAAGGTCAAATATTGAATATGTAGAACACACCGCATAGTTGTAAAATAAAAATGAAGAAAAAGGCATAGAAAACTTCGCTAAATGTATTTTTTCCCTCAAATTCTAAATGTGAGGAAAACTGGCTGCAAGGCGTGTGTAGTACTCACTTTCCGTAGGGTATGTTGCGCGCCAGAGGTACCGCGTTGTAGTAGAACTGTTTGTAATCGTCCATCCACACCTCGGCGGCTCGTCTGGTGTTCCGGGCGAAAACGTTCCCGCTGCCTCCGGGGAACGAGTACGGGTGACGTTTTCGAAACACGTGGCCGACGCGCGAACACGGAATAATCTCCAGGCTACCGCCGCACTGCCACACACGGAACGATATCTCTGAAAGCGGCACGGTCGTGAACTCGAATCACGTTCGGCAAATTTCTGCAGACGACAGACAGATCGAGCATACTCACCGAGATTCTCGCCGCCCCATACGTCCATCTGAGTGTCGTATTTGCCCAGTTTCTCGAAGTACGCTTTGTTGATTACGAAGAGACCACCGGCGATCATTGGCGTTCTAATCGCCTGCGTAGGGTCCTTTTGCCTCGCTTGCCTTTCCGTTTGGCTCAGGTATTCCCACTTGAAGACCAGGCTCCAGTCGAAACCACCTCTTAGATCGGCCGACGCGCCTGGACAATTACGATAATGTGATCTCGATTAGAGGAGAAAGGAATATTGTTTGCGATAAGATTTTAGCAAATGGGATTTAGTTGGAAGCAAAAGTATTTCAGAAGATTAGATATTTTACTATTGTAATTAAATATAAAGTTGTAAGTGACACATACATAGTTCTCGTTACTGTCGATTTAGGAGATTTGAGAAACTTGAAGAGCAAGAACCGTGTGTCGCGAGTGTTTCTGTTTAAAAGTTACAGCGGGGAAGAGTTAGATAAATTTGAGAGGCTATAATAATACCGATATATTGGAAAGTGTCCATGCTTATGACGTCAATGACGGGGCAGACGACCCTCGTAGGATCCTCAGCCACCCTCTCTAAAAGCGGCTCCAGCCAGTCGGCGTTGCATTCACAATGCGAGTCAAGGAACGTTAACACGCTGGCGGTTGCTGCATCCGCGCCTCGCACCCTCGACCTCATCAAGCCCTCCCTCTTTTCGTTGCGTATCACTCGCACTTTGTGTATCCTCGATAGCTCTTCACCGTCCTCCGCTGCAAGAAAAGTAGGTGAATTGTCACGGCAGCGTTCGATGCACTCGCCGCGTTGCAAGCTTCGGGAAAAATCGTTCACGAGAGGCAAGATCTAGTATCTAATCTAGAAGAAGCTTTTCGATCTAATTTTGCATGTTGAAGAAAAATTTGCAAATGAAACGGGAAAAAAACATGCCACGAGAATAGTGTGTTTTAATTCCAGTTGAAATTAAAATAGAAATGAAAATTACTCACGATGATCACTGAAGTCATCCACCAATATAATCTCCTTTATCAGGTGCTCTGGACTTCTGTTCAGAACGCTGAAATCAGAAACAGATATCCTCGATATTTCGTAAAAGTGATTGGAGAAATTAAACGCTTCTAATTCCATCGGCAGGAGTAACTCGGCTTCAAAGTGTAGTTAGAATGCAGCGGCTCCTCTTTTACGCGAGTAAAAGTTTTCCCTAAATAAGTAAGTTTTCTTCGTAGTCTCGCTCTTTCCTTCTTTTTTTACCTTCTCTTCTTCGTTTCGTAAAGAAATTCTCTTCATCTCAAGAGAAAGAGAGAGAGAGAGAGAGAAAATGTAGATATTTCTCTCGCGGGCAAAAGTAATCTTGTTCGAGTCGCGTGACGTTACGGGATAGAAAAACGTTTCAATTAAGTTGGCGGATGTCCGCGAGGTAAATTTATGAACAGTCGCGTCGCGGGAAAATGAAAGAAACGATTGTTTGAATTACTTTAAAATACTAGTGACGGTTCCGGAATAACGTAGCGGCTATAAGCGGCTTACTTAATATTGCGAGGACCGCGTCTGTCATTCTGACCCATTCATTAAGGATGAGACGAAAGTCGCTACTTTTATGAGGAAGCATGATTATTCATGAGTTTCCAACTTTGAAGAAAGTTTTGTTTTGTTTTAAAATGGTAGCAGATCCTACTTTTAATGATTGTTTTTAATCCTTTCCATGCCTATGTAATTGCCAACATAGCAATTTTCTGTTTCAATACTTTTAGACAGTGCAAGAGAATACAGACAATTATTTTTTTCAATGCAAAAGAAAAAGCATTAGAGCATTAGAGCTGCTGATGTTTAAAATGCAAAACTATAAAGCACAGAGTAATAAAAGTGCAAGAAATAGACGAAAGTCTATAATAGAATGAATAACACAAATTTTATTTTAAAAACGCGTTAGAGATCTATAAAATTTTTATGAAAAATTACTTGTTACGATTATTCGATTGCTCTGCTAGTTCTAGTATTAATAAATTCAAAAATACGTAACAGCCTAATCAATGGAATACATTCTGCTGCCTCTTCTACAATACTTTTTCATCATGATGTATTCACAATTTTATGAAATTTTAAGGAATTGAAACAAATTATTGATTGGTTCTTGATGAATGAGACAAATTCCTGAACAAGTTGGCGAATATATTTCACAGCGAAATAAAAACACAAAGTCGCTGTAGTCAATTTTAAGGGGTTTCAATTCGAATTTTTTTTTCGGAACTTCGAATTTCACGCGTGATTTATCATAGCGCGAGGTAATGGATGTGCAATGATGGAACGATGATTAGGAAATTCCGTCGGATCTCGGAGTTGGAAGTTTCCTCGGCGTTTTTCGCGAAACTGGATCTCGTTGCAAGCCCAACGCGTGAGAATTTAACCGAACTAGGAAATATCAATCTCGTTTTGTTGAATTTTAACCACGCATTCCTGCCTGTCCACGTTTCCCCATTTTTCGACGAGATCGATCATTGTCCGATATTTCTTCCTTCTCCTCGTTCCTTTTCTTTTTTTATTTTCGTAAATGCTTCATTTTAACGTCATAACGACATTAGCTGTTCGATTTAATACTCGGATTTGCTATTTTCAAAATTATTGCTTAATATATGTATATTTAGCTGAAATGTGGTTGTTGAATTTTATAGGCCGTGATGGATTAAAGCTACCGAATCCTGGTTTGCAAATGTGCGAAATTAATTACTTTGATATTTTATTATTTTCTGCAGAAATATTTTCTCGTTTCTTTTCTCTCTCTTGTCTGTATCGATGTTGGTATTGGAAAAATATTCGAATTACATATTACACGTTTTAAATTACTATATAATAATTTTAATATTTTGCCGGATGTCCATATTTCTTAATAACAATCGTACACGTTTAATATCTCTTCGCTCTTCATATTTTTAGTTCTTCGTAAGCGTCGTTCGAATGAATTTTCATTCAAAAATCCACAGTTTAGTAATTAACTTTACACATTTGCAAATTAGAATACACGTTTTAATCCAGGAAATCCGGAGCAAGTAAAATTTTAGCAATAATTCCAAAAGAAAAAAGAAAAATATCAAATAACAAACTCGACTCGCCGTACGTATAATAAAAATAAAATTAAAAATACCTGACGACCGTTCTGAGCAGCGTCGATCGCGCCTCGTTGTGAAACGTGATTATCACGGACGTTGGCGGCAAGTCTCTTCTCCATTGTTTCATTCGACACCTGCAACAAAAGCGGAATTCCTCTTCAGCTTTCGTGGACAAGTATTATCGAAGTGTAAATAAATAAACTGAGAACGGTATGTACAAACAGGCTAAAAAAGAAAAAAAAAAGGAAACAAAGATAAATAAACAAAGCTACGAATGCAAATGAACAAAGGACTGTCGCGCTGGTCGCGTGGTGCGCGTGACCTAAATGGAACGTCATCCGAAAATGGCGCTCTGCTCGTGCCATTTTCACGCGCTGAAAGGAATGAAAAGTACGTCGACTTAATTAGATGGCGGAACTTAGGACCGAGGCTCGTCTAATGAGCTTCACAATGAGACATTGGGCACGATATAATTAGGCCATCAACCTGTCACGGATGGGATCGATAGCAGCTTCCTGACGTTATCTGTCGTAACGTCCGTTAATACGCTTGTCGGTTCATCGTAATAGGATTCCCAGTCCAGTTCCGCGCGAACAGATCCAATAAAGTGCTATTTCGTTAATGATTAAACGCTGATTTTCGGTCTATACACAGCTGCACGCGAATAATTGCCGCGCTACGTATTCCGTTTTGATTGTCCGAAATGTTCCGTTTCGTCCTGGTCAAATCTTTCATAGACGTTTCATATCTGTGATGATTTTCTTGGTGATTCTATTTAACCTCTTGCGCTGGAATTGACGTGCCACGCACGTCGCAAATTTGCAATATTTTCTCGGTTTTAAGTATATTTAAGTATTACCCAGGCAAAACAAATAATAATTACTCATTAAATAATCTACTGCTTCTCAATAACTTCTATCCAGTGATATCGATACCGACGAGTTCAAAAAGAAAGCGACGAATTATTGTATACGGTTTGATCACTCGTTATGGTCCGCAATCAGTTGCCAGCTCAAGTGGTTAATGGAAATTCTTCTCACAACGTTGCGTCAAAGCAATTTTTTTTTTCCTTTACATTATTGAACATTATTGTTTCCTCTTATATTCTTGCTATGAGAAGCTTTCAACTATTATCTCTTCCTGTATCTGTAATTTTGTGAAGTCCAAAGAAACTGAAGCACTGAAACCTTGCTCTTTTAAATTCCCTTTAAATTCCTCCTCTATCTCTATTTTGCATTGCAGACTTTTCCTCCGATAATATCGTATTGTACACAACATCCGCATGTTGCGCAACATTCACCGTTCTCAATAACTTCTCAATAACTCGAATTCTCTCCCTTTGAAGAAATAATGAGATAACGTGGCGACAAAAAGATTCCCAGTCGGGCAAAAGGAACTTCTCGACACGAGATAAATTCTCACGTGCACGTTTATTTTTTCCGAACCGAGGAGATCGCCTCCGAAGATCGTCGAATCTTGTAGGTTTCCCGCGTTCGCCTTCCGGCTTTCGATGCTGAAAGTTGAAAAAGCGGGGGCGGCGGAGAGCAAATAGAAGCAGGGTGGGCAAGAAAAAGGTGGAGGATCATTTTGGCGCGGCACGCCAACACGGAGGTGGGTACATAAATGCGACTAGACGGCCAGAACGATCCCAATATGTCAGTCCCACTTTCCCCGGGATAAACTCGAGGAACGTGTACGGAATGCGACCACGTGTACCGTTGTGCTTTCAACCAAGTCTCTCACGAGCTCGAGCACTGCCTCCTACGGCAGCAGTCCTGACCATCGTGTACCGCGCGAAATTGTAAAAGTTCACTGATGAGATTATCGATCGTGCGAATTATTACCAGCCCGGGGAGGGGGAGGGCGGGGGGGAAAGCAGTCGTTTGGAAAATTCACCAGTTCTCCGTGCGCCGTACTTGTTTCCTTTTGTTAAGTCACGTCTGCACGTCGATATCCTCTCGATTCGGCCGCGAAATATACCGTTTCACGAATCGGTAGGGCCGAATGTACTTACGCGGTTAAGCGGGAGATTTTTTTGTTTTTTTCTTATAAATCTTAGAGGAACAGGATTTCTTAAATTTCAATTTGAAATGAACGTAAGTGCTACGACTGTGCGTGATAATTTCTTTTTTTTTTTTTGATTAGTCGCTCGCGAAGAAAGAAAGAATAAATTTAAAATTCCAATTCCGAAGAGTGAAAGTTAATTGCTTTAATTTTTGACCAAATATTTTTCTTTACAGCATAGTTTCCTTTAGTTGCTGCTGTTTTTAGAGTTCTACAACTCTAAGGGCTTCTAAATTCTAAAGATTATCAATCCAGAAATAATCTCTAGTAGCTTGTTTTTCACAAATTTGATCGATGAAGACCCTACGTGTCCTTTTACGCGCTCTCCTATCTCCATGACACTAGCTTTCGATAATTTCCAGTTTTCCACGTTCCCCGGCTCGTCGTCAATTCGATGACGCCCCATCGACGGAAATTGCTGAATTAAGGCGTCGTCGGGACGACGTTAAATTAATAATGCCGCGGAACAAAGGAGCGATGGCTCACGAGAAGAGGGGGAGGGAAAAATTACTTTGAAACGCAATAAAACGTGGCGAACGTGCCGAAGAGAACGGAGAGGGATGTGCTTTATGCAGTGGGTTAGATTTCGGCTTCTTTGTCGGGAAAGAAGCGAATAAATTGAGATGGCTGGATTGGTTTTTGGATAATGAGATACGTGTGTTCCCTGTTTGAACCTGCTGGAAAATATTAGGTGCATTTTCCGGCTGGAAAATTGAGATTGAAAGTGCAAACTTGATGTGCATTTGATATCTGTTATATGAAACGAGACTTTTTCTTCTTTCGTCGAATATAGAACAAAGTGAGAATATTTAGAAGAGTATACGGAATATTTCAGAATTGATGTCGAAGATCATTTAGTTGAAAGAGTCGGCGCCATATTGCTGCAGCACGTAGCTCGTTTACGATGCTAATCAAATGCATTCAAAGATCATCAGTTTTACAATTCTAAATATCTTTTACCGACTGAATAAAGTTTCCAAATTCGAAATCGATAACTTTTGCATACATATGAGTACAGTCGACGTTATTCTCTGTGCGCGCAATGGTGAGCAAAAAAAGATTTGAAAGGAAAGTGGCACGAGATGTTTCATAATTTTATAAAATGAAATTATATTTTATATTTTATTATAACTTTGACTTTTATTGACATATAAATTGTAATATTCTTATTCTTCGGAAAAATGATTTAGAAGTTTGTTTTGCCTAAGAAACGAAAGATTTTTGACTCTTTGAGCGAGAGTGTATATATACGTTGTGTAGATAATTACTAATTGTAAAGTTTCCTCTGTTCACAAATTATATATCACACGTAAAACTAATTGTAAGTTTGCTTGATTAGTCGAAAGGAGAATTGCAGGAAACTACAACAAGACTATATGTAAGCTATATGTAGCTTATTGACACTTGAGTTTGGTCGCGAACTTTGTGACAATGATATAACGTTGTTGTTATAGCAGTAGATTTGTGTCGAATTGTGTAAAGCTTATTGGAAGCTTACAGACTGAGAGTTTAATTCTCGAAACGATGAATTTTTGGGATGGAGCGAGAATTAGAGGAAGAATTCTAGAATCTGGGATTAGGAGAGGACAGAGTGTGGATTTATTCTATTGTGCGTTGTTTTAGAAAAATAAGTTATCTGGAACCCAAGGTTTAACCAAATTTTTACACGAGTTTGTTAAATGAAAAATTTATTAAATTTTTCGTATAAGTTGAGTCTTTGGGAGTTTGATAGTTGACGTAACTCTTAGGAGAATAAAGCTAAGAATAAATAGTGTAGTTAGAAAAGCTCAACATGGCTAATTTACAATCTTACTGTGTGTTGTTTTAAGAAAACAGATTATCCAGAGCTGATTAACTGATTAATCATTTAACAAATAATTAGTCATTTAATTTAATAAATATAACATTTTCATATCATTAATTTATGACTCCATTGTTGTTTCCATTGTTTTAAATCAGCAGATTGCTCAGGAATCATTTGTTAAATTTGTCATGCAAAACTGATAGACTGAAAGTTTGATTATTAATCGTAAGAAGAGAATAAATAAGTATATATTTAAGTGATTAGTAGACTGCGGATTTTCATTCAAATTCATATTCTCAAAATCTTGTTGAAACATCGTTCTACGTGTCAAATATGATACAAAACATTATACTTTCGACATTTATATATTTTGTGCAATTTTGCACTTGTTTGCAAATGTACCATAAATGCAAAAAAAGAAAAACAGAAAAAATCCACAGTTTAGCAATTTATTTTGGAAAAGTTCAAAACACGACCACGATTTTATTATATACCCCAGTATCTTCAATTTCTGTCACTTAAACGTTCGACTTCACTCAGCACCTGCTCCCAAATCATGCTCACCTTCTGCAAACCGCCAACAACAATTAATAAGATTCCTCGCGATTCCTCTGGCTGGACACTGATTACAAGCAGTTTACCCTCTTCTAATTCGTCTTAGGCGCCGAGGGACGATCGTATCTTCTAATTCATAGGGACGCGTAATTTCGCGAACAGGGCAACGAAGCGGCGACATATTTGCCGACACAACGAAACAGCGGACGAGCCTTAAAGCGGGCTAGACGGGACGAATCATCCGGACGGTTTAATTCGAAACTGCAATTTGGACTTTGCCAAACGCCGTTAAAGAGGATAACGCACGGTCGCTGCTGGCCCAATCCCATCGAATACTCGGGACACGTGCACGCGCGCGTGTACCACTCGCGTTTTACACGCGACGGAGCGCGTCCGCAACGCGAGAGCTCGCGCGCCTGTTCCGAGAGGAATACACGCAATCGTGCTTGTACGAGCAATCTCTCTCTCTCTCTCTCGCGCTCTCTTCTCTCTGTGCACCGGCGAATTTGACGATCGAACCAATCGACTTCTGTATCGATGAAATTTGTCGAAAATGCTTGCAACTACGTACATATACACAGGCCGGGGCCGGGGATATTCACGTGTTAAACGGCTGGTAGTTTTGTAGAAATTGGAACGCGCGCACGCAGGGTAGTTTTCAATCATTCGAGGGACTCGACAGAAAGACACAAAGTAAATACAGCGGTATTG